ACTGTAATTCATTATTATCAGGATGTCCAAAAAACTCACTGAAAAGCCTTCAGCTGATCCAAAATGCTGCAGCAAGAGTACTGACAGGGACTAGAAAGAGAGAGCATATTTCTCATGTATTGGCTTCCCTTCATTGGCTTCCTGTTAAATTGAATTAAAAATCTTGCTCCTCACATACAAGGTCTTGAATAATCAGGTCCAATAATGACCTTATAGTACCATTTCACCCCATTACAGCACTTTACAGTATTTAAAAGTAGAATGGGAGGCAGAGCATTCAGTTTTCTATGGAACCAGCTTTCAGTTTGGATTCAGGAGACAGACACTATCTCTACTTTCAAGATTAGGCTTTAGCATTTCTTCTTCAGCCACCTTTCTCACTCACTATGTGCTAATACACTTCTCTGCATTGGATCATACTTGCTATTAATCTCTGGCTCTCTTCCACAGCATGTCTTTATCCTACAACTGTAACTGTAAATACATTAAAATTCAACCCATTTTTGTAGGTTTCTGTAAGAAATGTTAGTCCCTGCAGTGCACCTTTACGTCATGGTGTATTGAAGGACAAAGGTCTCACCCCACACATCCTGCTCATAAACAAAGCCTCGCTGTCAGGACTTTGTTTGGTTTGAACTTTTCCTCTCTGAGTGCTGAGATGTTCTGGGAACACATTACATCACGGTTCCCCTTCTGCCTGTCTTCCTGTGTTGTGAAAATACCACTCGACTGTGACGAGAGGGCTTTAAATTCATTATATTTTTTTTAAGTGTCATGGAGCAACAAAGAGGGGAGTGTTTCTGTGGTCGGCTCCAGTGGCAAACAGCTGCAAACACACCCACACCCAGAAAGAGGGAGGCGTGTCTGTGTGTGGGACGGCCTGGTGGTTTGGTTAGGTGGAAGTTGAAGGATTGTAGCATTAGCTGTGGTTTAGCCTATGAAGACCTCCACTTTCAGAAGAACCTTTAGCAGTCATCTCTAATCTAGTTTCACACCGTGCAGAGCCACAAAAAAGCTTGGGATTGAAGGCAAGCAGAACAATATCAATAACAGAACCTTTCATAGAAATAGATCCAACAGAGGGCAGGTGGCACCACAGAAACCCACCCTAGGGTGAAGAATGACAGAGTTGGGTTGTACCTGGTCCATGTTTATCTCAGCCTGGCTTTCCTTCAGCTCCAGCTGCTTATGCAACCTGGTCACTCTCTCAAGGAGCTCCAACACAGCACTGCAGCTCTCTTCGCTTCTCGAGCTCCCGAAATTAGACATTAACTTTTTGAATGCCTTGTCCTCGCACCTTATTAAGGAACATATAATAGAAGATGGAAAGTCAGTCAGACCGACCCACAAACTGTATACAAGAGACGGACATGGACACTGTGACATCACCCTTTGGATTGTGGACCTTTTTTTTTTTTTTTAGCATTGCCATGATTGAATAAGGTTGGATTTTCCTGAAAACTCCAGAGGAGCATTTACTGTCAATTACAATATAACTATGATGTTGTTTTAACTGTCTGTTTAATTTAAATAGAACCAAACAGAAAATCATTCATTCATGATGAATAGAAAGTAGTGACTAGCAATGTTTACTGAGGTAATAGATTAAGACTTCCATAATCTAACTTATTCCTGCAATCAGATATATGATATATTTTATGATAACATGAACATGCGATACCTTTCCCCACAGCAGGATAGCCTGGCTAAGATCCTCTTCACCTCATCCACTTGTCTCTGTTGATCTCCAGTCCACTTGTCATCTTCTTCGTCAGAGGCTGCCTGGCCCTCCACTGACCGAAACAGCTGCTCCTCCACTGGACAATACATACAGTACATAATTGTTATCATCATCATCACCAACTGTTATTGCGATCATTGCAAAGGGTATTAGCCAGAGGTCTTCATTAACAAAAATTAATTGTACAGTGCCCCCCCCCACTCTTAGCAAGTACCTGCCAGCAGTAGACTGTGAGGGTTCTCTCTCTACTATTGCAGAGTTAAGCTTCCAGTATAAATATATATGTTAGTTGGTGCTACAGGTACAAGTGAATTAAAATGTGGTGTAGTTTGTTGCCTCAAAACAACATAGGCGTGTATAAGCATATTTAATGAATATGATGACCACTTCAAAATGGGGTAAGTATTACCTTACCTGCAAGCTCAGTATTTATTTTGCTTAGACTTGCATTGAAGCTCATACATGAGTGGCTAGTATCAGAAAAAACATTCTGTACTTTAATATTCAATATTGTCTTACTCTTGTCTGGAGTCGTTACAGCACATCCTGTCGGGGAACAGCGGTCGTGCTGGGTATCCAGGCAGCATCTCTGTCCTGGCCTGCTGCTGACACTCAGCTGCTGCTCTGCACTGGTGCTGCCTGGGAGTTGTAGTTTCGACACTTCTGACCTGAAAGAAAGCACTGCGAGTTCAGCATTTTTTTTTGCAAATATAGTCACATGTGCTGCTGCATGTAAGCTGACAGTGGCCAAAGGGGCTAAAACCGCTCGTCACATTTGCACAGATGAGAAAAGTTCCGTCCAAACCAATTGCCAACATCAAAGAGAACATATCATGTAACACAAGGGAGTGTGTATTACGCCACATCTACAACCGCCATGATAATTTTATGGAGGCCTGTGATGCTGTACGCCAAATCTGGGTGGGGTAATTGAAGCCAGACATTGTATCTTTAAGGCATTTTTACAGTAAAGTGGGTCAGTGGTAGAGAGCCACTCTAAGTGTGCAGGAGTTAGCAGGAGTTTGCAAGATGTGAGGTAAAGCATGCAAGACTTTTAAGTGCAACGTTTCTTTTGATCTGCAGAGGAGAAGATGTGTAAGACCTTTAGTGTATATTTCACATATTTCCTCATGTCATGATCACATTCAAACATTCCCTCCTGAAAAAAAAGACTGAGGCTGAGTTTGGGCGGATCAATCGTTCTGTAATGGTTTGAATTTTCTAGGCTTCTTCTGCTGTCTGCTCTTTTGTGTTGGGGGAAATCCGATAGGGGGCCTTCATAAATCACAGAATAAGTGTTTCCAGATGATGATGTCTTGCCCAAGAAAAAAAAAGCAGAGAGAAAATCTCGGAAAGAGTTTCAGCAGCCTAACTCTCTGAAAAAACAATTAATTTTTTTAAGAGTCACAGAGAACTCATGCTTATATCCTGTTGGCACAAGACAAACCCTGCTGTAAGATGACATTATGCTCTGCATCTGTGGATTACTCTAGCTTTGTGCAACACTGGAGAGAAACCACTGAAGTCACTTGTTAACTTTAGCAAGATTTCAGGCAATCAATCAGAGAGTCGTGTTTAAGTTATAGAGGGCGCCACGTTGGAAGAAAGAAGGAGCAGCTGTAGTCACACCAGCACAGACAAGAACACACACAAAATTCAACTGGTTGCTGTGGAGACACTCGGACTCTTAAGCAAAACGGTGGAAGGCTTTTTCAAATACAGGCTTCATGTGACTGATTGCACTTTAATTGGCAACGGTTAAAGGGAGGCTAACAGTAGGCCACAGCCGCAGGATCAGGACTTTGATGTTAATATAGTAAGCTAGCAGGCTGCATCCACAAACTACCCATATAACATGCACCGACATCAACATCTCCTATTTAAGTAACTAAGTAACATAGTGATACTGATACTAGTGGAAGTGAGGCTTAACAGGCAGCTAGCTGCAACTG